CTAGGAACTGAACTTAAGTCCTTGACTCAACTGGTAGTCAAATGAGAGACCTATAAGGTGAACAGTAATATAAGGAGGGCATGCACTCCTTAGAACAATCAAGCATCTGAGATCAAGAGGACCGCATTTTCCCAGGGATAGAGCTAGGACGGTGGGAGAGCATGGAAGGAAGGACAAAGGAAAGGGGTGGGCGCATGGAGGAAGTGGGAAGAACCCTGTTACAGAGTTGGGATTGCAATAAATGTAACAAAACAGAATGTGTATGAACTGTTGAATGGAAACCCAATTTGCTCTGTAAACTTTCACCCAAATCACAATTTTAAAAGAAAGAAAAGACAATTATGTTTTCCAGGACAAGTAAGCTATTCTGTATGAAGTTAGAGTTAAGATTTTAAGAAAAAGTGGTTTTGAATTTATATCACAAGGGGCAGCCCCAACTTAAGAAGTAGTTGGGTACTAAATGTTTATTCTCTAAGTGGTTGTTTAGAACTCAGAATTCAATTTTCCACAGAAACAATGTTGTAAATGACTCAGCTCATAGATTGGATGTAAATAGTTATTTTAATTCCATAGTGAATGTGAAGGACAGGACTCATGGTTCTATTTCAAGTTCAACTAACCACTCTTTACAATATTGTTCCAATGGGAAGACAGACATATATCAAATTCCAACTCCCAATACCAGCTGCATTCCATGCCCCATCTATCTCCCTGCTCCTGTTTTGAAATTCTCAGTAAAAGAGCCATGCCCTCACTAATGAAATAGAACTCAAGGTTCCTCTCTCCTAACTCTTTCCAGAGTTCTCCTTTGGTATCAGCATAGAAAGCAATGTTTGTGTCAGTCATTGTTGGTGTTTATGAATTAGGAGAGACAAGCATTACCTCCACAAGAAATAGTCAGTATATTCAAACTCTCCTCCACTTGGCAGTTCATGTGTTCAGGCAAATATTGTGGTAGAAAGAGCTCTGAAGTGTGCATTTGAATCTGTACTCAACCATTACTTATATAACCTTACTTGAGTGCTTTCCTATGTTTGGACCTTAGTTTTAATTTCTTTAAAAATTAAATGAATAAGAGATTAAATTACTAAGAAGAGAATTTACAGTTTTCAAGAGAATTTCAAAGAAATCTATCACCTGGTCCCTTCCCTCAAACAAAATTAAGAGTCTCTGGAAAAAGTGATATTTAAGACCAGTTTTATAGCTCTAGCATTTAAAGTTCCAAGTGTAAGGTTGTTTCTCAGTTATCAGAACAAAGCATTGCCCACTCCTGCATCATGTTCATGATCATCAGTGTGTTCGAGTCCACAGCTGCAACCACTGCGCCAATTCATCTCACCAAGGATCTCCCTTGCCATCACTTTCCCTCCACTTCAATAAACATGATGTCTTGCTCTAGCGACTGATGTCTCCTGATGATGGGTCCAAAGCAATAGTCTATTATGATTTGTAAAGTTTTCACTGGCCAATTTTCAGAAGTAGATTTCCAGGACTTTCTTTCTCATCCATCTTAGTCTGAAAGCTCTACTGAAACCTGTCCACGATGGTGACCCTGCTGGTATTTGAAATACCAGTGGCATAGCTTCCAGTATGATAAACTGACAGACAAGTAGTTAGGAACTACCTGTTTATGCTTTACTTACCAGGTGAGTATTGAGATCCTCCAAATCAGCCAGTGACATCCTCTGTTTGTCTATAAATAAAGTTGAGAATGACAAATAAAGTTTACAGACTTTCTATATGATTTCTCATTCTCTGAAACTCTTTTCTCTTGCTGTAATATAACATCTGTCATCCCTAAATCCTCAAATTCCAGACTAAGAGTCTACATAGATTGGGCTAATAGGATAATTTCTAGGTCTTCACTTTCTGTCTTGTGGACTTCCTTTTTTCCATTTCCTCAATCAATTCACTTGAAGATAGATATCCTAAACATTAATGAGTTGAAATGGACTGGTATGGGCATTTTGAATTGGACAATCATATAGTCTACTACACCAGGATTGACAAATTGAAGAAGAATGGCATCACTTTGATTGTCAAAAGGAACATTTCAAGATCTATCCTTTAGTGCAGTTCTGTCAATGATAAGATAATAGCTATACACCTACAAGGGAAACCAGTTAATACGACTATTTTTCAAGTTTACACACCAACCACTAATTGCAGAGATGAAGAAATTGGAGATGTTTACCATATTCTGCAGTCTGAAATTGATCAAACATGCAATCAAGATGCATTGTTAATTACTGGCCATTGGAATGGGAAACTAGGAAACAAAGAAAAAAATCAGTAGTTGGAAAACAGGCTGTGGTGATAGAAAAAATGCTGGAGATCACATGATAGAATTTTGCAAGACCAATGAATTATTAATCAGAAATACCTTTTCTCAACAACATAAACATTAGTTATACAAGTAGACCTGGCTGGATGGAATACACTGGAAGCAAATTGACTATCACATCTGTGGAAAGAGACAGTGGAGAAGCTCAATATCATCTGTCAGAACAGGACCAGATTCTGACTGCGAAACAGACTATCAATTGTTTGTATGCAAGTTCAAGTGGAAGTTGAAGAATATTAAAACAAATCCATAAGAGCCAAAGTATGACCTACCTGAAGTATATTCTACCTGAATTTAGAGACCATTTCAAGAATAGATTTGATGCATAGAATACTAATGACCAAAGACCAGACAAATTGTGGGGACATGAAGGACATCATACATGGAGAAAGCAAAAGATCATTAAAAAGGTAGAAATGAAAGAAAGGACCAAAATGAGTGGCAGAAGAGACTCTGAAACTTGATTTTGAATGTAGAATGGCCAAAAACAATGGAAGAAATCATGAAGTAAAAAAGCTGAACAGAAGATTTCAAAGGGCAGCTTGAGAAAACAAAGTAAAGTATAATAAAATGTGCAAAGACCTGGAGTTAGAAAACTAAAAGGAAAGAACATGTTTGGTATTTCCCAAGTTGAAAGAAGTGAAGAAAAAAATCAAGCCTTGAGTTATGATATTGAAGGATTCTATGGGCAAAAAGGAGCAAGAACTAAGGCATTTGACTACTAACCAGAGGTTGATTGTTCAAACCCACCAGCCATTCCACGAAAGGAAGATGGGACAATTTCCATAAAAATTTACCATCTTGGAAACCCAATGGGGGTTGCTATGAGTCAGAATCAACTCAATGCCAGTGAGTGTGGTTTTGGTTTGGTTTTATAGGCTAAGAACATTGAAAGATGCAGGAAGCATCAAAAGACAATGGAAGAAATACACAGCATCACTGTATCAAAAAGAACTGGTCAATATGAAATATGATCATATTTCAACATATGATCAAAAACTGATGCTACTGATGGAAAAAGTGTAAGCTACACTGAAGGAACTAGTGAAAACCAAGGCTGCAGGAATTTATGGAATACAAATTGAGATGTTTTAACAAACCAATGCAATGCTGGAAGTATTCACTCGTCTATGCCAAGAAAGTTGGTAGATACTTACCTGGGTCGATTGACTAGAAGAGATCCAAATTGTGCCCAATGCAAAGAAAGGTGATCCAATGGAATGTGGAAATTATCAAACAATGTCATCAATATCACACACAAGTAAAATTTTTGCTGAAAATAATTAAAAAGAGGTTGCAGCAATACATTGACAAGGAATTGCTAGAAATTCAAGCCAGACTCAGAAAAAGATGTGGAAGGAGAGATATCATTGCCCATGTCAGATGGATCTTGGCTGAAAGCAAAGAAATCCAGAAAGATGTTTCCTGTGTTTCATTTGCAATGCAAAGGCAAAAGGCATCTATGATCTGCATAGATCATAACAAATTATGGATAACATTGTGAAGAATGGGAATTCCAGGACACTTTATTGTGCTCATGTGACACCTGTACATAGACCAAGAGGCAGTCATTCAAACAGTACATGGGGATACTGTGTGGTTTCAAATCAGGAAAGGTATGTGTCAGGGTTGTATCTTTATATCTTGTATACTTGTTCAAGCTGTATGGTGAGCAAATAATCCAAGAACCAGGACTATATGATGAAGAGCATGGCATTAGGAGTGGAGGAAGGACTCATCAATAACCAGCAATATGCTGATGACAGAGCATTGCTTGTTGAAAACAAAGAGGACTTGAAGCACTTACTGATGAAGACCAAAGACTACAGTTTTCATTATGGATTACATCTCAACATAAAGAAAACAAAAATCCCCACAACTGAACCATTAAGCAACATTATGGTAAATGGAGAAAATATTGAAGTTGTCAAGTGTTTCATTTTACTTAGATCTACAATCAGCACCTGTAGAAGCAGCAATCAAGAAATCACACTGCATATTGCATTGGGAAAATCTGCTACAAAAGACCTCTTTCAAGTGTTAAAGAGCAAAGATGTTCCTTTGAGGATTGAGGTACGCCTGACCCAAGTCATATTTTCAGTCTCCTCATCTGTATGTGAAAGCTGGACAATGGGAAGACTGAAGAAGAGTTGATGCCTTCAAATTATGGTGTTGGCAAAGCATACTGAATATACCATGGACTACTAGAAAGATGAACACGTCTGTCTTGGAGGAAGTACAACCAGAAAGTTCCTTAGAAGTGAGGATGGTGAGACTTTGTCTCACAAACTTTGGACATGTTGTCAGGAGGGACCAGTCCCTGGAAAAGGACATCATGCCTGGTAAAGTGGAGGGTCATTGACAAAGAGGAATACCCTCAAGGAGAAGTATCGACACAATGGCTGTAACAATGGGCTCAAACATAGCAACAATTGTAAGGATGGCAGAAGACCAGGCAATGTTTCATTCTGTTACACATAGGATCACCTTTAGTTGGAAATGACTCAATGTCACGTAACAAGAAGAAGAAGAATCAATTCACCCTTATCCTTCAATTAACTCTGACATATTCTTTGCTTCTGAGTGTTTTGGAACAAAGAAAGAGATAAAAATCTAAGTTGCTGTCAAAATTTACCTTTTTTTCCCCCCCTTTCAGGAAAAGGAGCATTGAATTGCTTGTCCTGTGTGTGGAGTTACCACCTTGCGGGAGGAATCTGCAATTCAGACTGTTTTACAGGGAAATACAGAGTGGGAGAGGTACTGTGAATTGGCAATTGTTTCCCTTATACTCTCTCTAAAGAAGGAAAAGAGTTCAGTTACTGCTCATTCTAGACAAAGTCAAAAAGCCCTAAGATTCCTCTACTCACTATTGTTTAGGTTTAATATGTAAAAATTTTCCACCAGTGCATAATGGAATAATGGTGGTAACTACCTTCAGTTTTAATTTCAATCAAAAGACCTAGATCTAAGATAAACAATGGGAACATTAAGTAGTGAGGGCCCCCAAATTAATCTACGTTCATTGCTTGCAATCTTAGAAGTTTCAGGTCTGCATAGGAGTATTATGTAAGAAATAAGAAATGTCTTCTCTCCTACCCTCTTGCTGTCTAACTTGAAACATCTGAATAATGTAGGAACCACACAACTGATGTTGGTCCTTCATTTCCTTCACCCTGTCAATGTATATTAAGAAGGGCATATTTCATTTCTTGCATAGAAGCCATGGCTTTCCTAAGTCCACTGACTTCTTGGTTGTGTTTGCATACTTTATAAAATAAATAAATCTTTCCATGCTGAAATTTATACAAACCACCATATTCACATTTCAGCCCTTTGAATTCTGACAATAGCCTTCATTACACTTTGGAAGAAACTGAGGCTCAGAGAGGTTAAACAATTTGGTAAAGATCACATGGTTATTAAGTAACAACGCTGGGATTGAATCTAAAGACTCTGACTGAAAATCTAGGATTGATGAGATGAAAATAGATGAGAAAGTACCTGACATAGCACCAGAAACATACCACAGTGCTCAATAGAGATTTCCATTTCTTCCTGTTTTTCTGTTATGCAATACTTCCAAAGTTACAAAGTAGAGCAGAGAGGTATCTTCTCTAACCTATATTTCCAGAACCAGTCAAGGAGTGACTTGTAGAGAAAGAAGCCACTTTCTTATTTGTTGCCCATCTTCCCAATGAAATTTAACTGGTTTAGGATAACTCATACTATTCTAGGACATGATCACAATTTAACCACTACAGAAGCTGAGCAGATACATAAATGAGTAAAGAGTGCAGTAAAAGAAAAACCCTGGGAAAACTTAGGAAAAGTGGAAACTCATATCACCTATATGTTGGTGACATAATAGTGAGTGCTGGGGATTGTGTGAAATAGGAGTATACAAAAAGTGGGCCACTGCCACTCAGCTCTGTCTGTGACATTGCCATGTGGAAGTGATGAGTCCAATATTGACAGATCTTGTAGTTTTAAAGAGAAATTAGGAATTGATTTACATGTGAAATATTCCAATTTTGAAATGTGGACAAGTAATTCAAAATGCTTTAAAGTAGGGTAGGACAGACAAAACTTATCCTTAACTGAATATAGCTATTGAGCTGTCTGTAACTCAAACCAGTCTAGAAGTTTGTTGTCTCATAACCGTTACTAGCAGATTTCATAGGGACAGTCCCCAGCAATGCTTCCATTCATGCACAGACAATTGGTCAGTCTCTCATCTAGCACCATTAAAATGAACCCAGAATAAACCATCTTTCTACTGTCTCCCACAAACCTTATGTGGGACAAGGCAGAATTCCTATCTGAGAACACCAGTGCCTTCTTAATCCCTCCCCACTCTAAAGGAATCTCCTGGTTGTTCTTAACAGGGAGAGAAATTTAACTGTGAAAAATGCGACGAGAGCTGCATGGAGTGCAAGGGACCTGGTGCCAAGAACTGCACTGTGTGCCCCGCCAACCTGGTGCTGCACATGGATGACAGCCAGTGCCTCCCCTGCTGCAATGTTTCTGATCCCACTGACACCCAGGAGTGCTGTGACTGCCAGGACACCACTGGTGAGAAGAGAAAAAGGGGATGAACTCAGGAAGTTGATGGGAGCAGGGGGAAAAGTTCAGGGTGATCCATATGGCTACCTTTTTATCAGGAATCTGTGTGGTACTAATGGTTAAGCATTCAACTACTAACTAAAAGGTTGGAGATTCACACCCACCCAAGTGGGTGGGCCTTAGAAAGGCCACAGCCATGAAAAACCTATGGAGCAATTTTACTCTGCACACCAGAGGTCGCCATGAGTTAGAATTGACATGATGGCAACTAACAACAACCACCTTTGTATTGAGTGCTTGCTATGTACCTACCATACTTGAAATCTCATGTCCATCATGTCACTTTCCAAGTAGGTACTAATCCTATTTTGCACATGAGGAAACTTAGGTTCAAAGAGGCTGATTAGCATGCCCAAGTCCACACCAATGTTAGGAGACTTATCTCGAATTAGAATGCAGGTCCTATGAACTACAAAGTTCACATTCTTCCCACTGCTGGAAGACTTACTCAAATAGGTCTAGAACCTCATCTTTATATATTTACTTTGTTTCTATTTGTATTCTTTCCTTATGGGAAAAAAAGAAAAGACCCAACTATCAAGGAAGGTGAAGCCAATATTGTCTTGATTCTGTTGACGAACTATTCTATGAGAAGGCAGCTCAAATATAGGCCTCCCACTAGAGAATTTATGGCATTTTACAAACGAAATCTCCTTTAAGGCTAAGAAGAAACAAAATCCCTTTTACCAATTCCCAACCCCCCAACAGTATCCCACCCCAACCCCATCCACATGGGTCTTCATTGAACCCAAACTTAAAAGATGCAGTATTCCTTTGAAGTATTCTTAAAAGATGCAGAGTTATTCCTGATATAAAAGGAAATATATATTCTTAAAGTATATTCTCTAGTTAAGAAGTAGATGATTTCTTTGGAATTCAGATTTATCATTGTCTGACAAAAAAGAGATGTCATATTTATGGATGTCTATTCATTTATAAAAGGAGCTCTGGCAGCATAGTTGATAAGGAATTTGGCTGCTAACCAGAAGGACAGCGGTTCAAACCCACCAGCCACTCCATGGAAGGAAAATGGGGCAATCTACTTCCATAAAAATTTACAGCCTCAGAAACTGAATGGGGGTCACTGTGAGTTGGAATCAATTCCATGGCAGTGAGTTTGGTTTTTTGATTCATTTATATGGAGTCCCTGGGTGGTGAGAACTGTTAGCAGGCTTGACTGCTAACCAGAAGGTTGAAGATTGAAGTCCACACACAGGCACCTTGGAAGAAAGGCCTGGTATCTACTTTTGAAAAGTCAGAAATTAGAAACCTGATGGAGCACAGTTCTACTGACAAGCATAGGGGTCCCATGAGTCAGAATCAACTTGACATCAACTGGCCGATTCATATGTGAAGAAAATCCAAGACCTGTAACTGCTACTAGCTATTTATTTATTATTCAACCTTTTAAATTAATTACTAAATATCTTCTTTCCAAAACTAATTATTTCCTTCTCTGAGCTTTTCTGCCGTAGTAGCAGCTGTGTTCCCAGCTCCTCAAACACATCCACCTTCAGGGTCTGATTGCCTTCAGGGTCCATGCTGTGTTTGTGAAGAATAATAACCTTTATTCTATCAGTGCCTTTAGCCTTTAAATGAAACCAGAAGTACATGTATATTGGGCACAGAGTTTCTACATGTTTGTTCCAATTAAGAGCTATGTAGCCAGCTTTCCTAGTCCCTCTGTGGCTCTAGAAGATCCACCTGAGGCAACTCTGCAAAAGTCTAAATACTCTTGATTACCTTCTCATTCTTTACTGTGACTAACCTTCCTAAAAGGATTGTTTGGCATCATTAGATATAGAGCGGGACTCTCATGAGGTATATATTGAGATTTCATAGAGCGATGAGGCCTCGAAGGTAATCAGACAGTGATTCTATCATTTTAGGTTTTAAGAAAAAAGGATATAGAGAAATGAAATTCTGAAACATGCTACAACATGGATGAACATTGAAAACACTATACTAAATGAACTAAATCAGACAAAAATGGACAAATATTGTATGATCCCACATATATGAAATATTTACAATAGGCAATGCATATAGATAACAATTTCTTAGAGGTTACCAGGGTTTGGGACGGAGGGGAATGGGTAGTTACTACTGACGAGGTATTGAGTTTCAGTTTGGGGTGTTGTAAAACTTTTAGAAATGGATAGTGGTGACGGTTACACAACCTAGTGGATGTGATTATCACTGAATTATACATTTAAAATGATTAAAACAGTAAACGTTTTTATACTTTAGCACAGTAAAATATTTTTTAAAAAATTTTTAATTAAAACATCAAGGCAAATAGGCAAGTGTATGGATATCTACTGGTGTAGTACCTAAGGCATTTGACTGCTAACCAAAGGCTGGAAGTTCAAATCCACCAGCCACTCCTTGGAAGGAAGATTGGGCAATCTGCTTCTTTATGATGCTGCCTTGTAAATCCAAGAAGGGGTTGCTATGAGTTGGATCTAACTTGATGGCAGTGAGTTTAGTTTTTTTGGTTATGGATACCAAAGTTTATTACTAGCTAACAGAGATGAGCTAGAGTGAGGTGGGGAAGGAAGATAGAATGCTTAGATGACACTGAGCTCCTGTTAATAGTGAAGGAAAAATTTGGGAATGGTCAATGGTAATGGTTAAACAAAATGATGAATGTAATTAATGTCACTGTACTGTACAAGTGAAGATGATAGAAACAGCAGATGTTCTGTTACCTATACACTTACCACAATTTTAAAAAGTTAAGGCAAAATTATTTACCTCGGAAACTAACTTTCCCCATGTTTCTTCTCCCCCACCTCTTTGGCTTCATCTTTTGGGGTCATCTTCAACAGAGGAGTGCATTCTCAGAACAAGTGAGATTGGCCCTGCAGCTGAGAGTTCCAAGACAGCTCTGTTCGTCACCTCCTCCATCATGCTGCTGCTGCTGCTCGGGGCAGCCGTGATTGTCTGGAAGAAGTCTCGAGACCGAGCCCAGCCAGCAGAAAAGTCTGGCTATGAAAAGCTCTCTGACCCAAACAAGGCTTATTCTTCCTACAAGAGCAGCCATCGTGAAAGCACGAGCTTTGAAGAGGATCAGGTGATTGAGTACAGGGACCGGGATTATGATGAGGATGATGAGGATGACATAGTCTACATGGGTCAAGATGGCACCGTCTACCGGAAATTTAAGTACGGGCTGCTGGACGATGATGATGAAGATGAGCTGGAATATGATGATGAGAGCTATTATAAGTAAACAGAGGCCACCCTACCCCATTCCACTCACAGGCATGTGTGTGAGCGTGACTGTGTTTGCTTTCATTCACACACAAAGCCCACATGTGAGTCTTCATATTTGTGTTCCTAATCATGAATCCAGAGTATGTTAGAATGCTAGAATATTTTATTTTTCTTTTGGGTGGCTAAAATCAATTACAATTCCTATTCAACCATAATTGAGGAATAAAGATAAAGTTCAGAGGCACCCCCTTCAAAACAGTATGTCAAAATACAAGATGCAGGAGGTGAAAACAACTAAGATTTCTACAAACTGTTTTAGGTGATTTTAGAAAAGGACAAGGGACCTATAGGAATTCCTCTTCCAGACTGTATTTTGGAAAATGTCTGCTGCCTTCTGAAATTTCAATATTTCTTAAAATAATTTTTAGGGTGTGGTGGCAGAAGAATTGTTTGTTTTAGGGGACTTTTCTCCCCTTTTAGTTCACTTTAGGCAAAGATTGATTCTTCAAGGGCCAAGGAGAGGGGTATCTGCTGCTCATGCCAGGTATCAACCGACTGTAGCCCACCATGTAGATTAACAGGGTACTGTGTCCTGACAATTCAAGAAACAGAGCAACCTCACATGGTCAACAGGCAACAGCACACCCAGGAAGAAAAGCCACTGGGTTTCCAAGAATCATAACATCACACTTTTATGATTTTCTAAGTGCTTTTCTGATAGGAAATATCAGCTAAAACATCAAGTAATAAAAAGAAAAATGGGAGTGTTGACCTAACATAAAATGGGATAAAATGGCAAAACTTTATTCACTCTAAGACAAGACTTAAGCTGTTGATTTAGCAGCCTATCCTGGAATGGTGGACTCCCCATAGAAGAAATTGGAGTAGAGTCTAAAATGAACAACCCCAGTATCCTGCTCACCAGCTGTAATCCAGCTGCTGACCAGCCTTCCAACACTCTTTATCACTGTGGTCTTTCTTTCTAGACATCATAGGCTTCCCTTCTTCCACACTCCTGTCAAGTGCAACCAGGGAGAGTTTTGCTGCAGATATCAATACAGAGAGCAGGCCTCTTGCTGTGAAAAGTTATGTAAGCGGTATCTTAAAGAGTTCCCTGCCAAGGCAAAAATGCTAGGCAGCACAAGGATTGAAACACTAGAAGTGAAAGGGGCATTTTCAGATGGTAAGGATAATCATAATAAATTTTCATGTACCTCTAGTGGGTACCAGGTATTGGTAAACAAAAAAACAAAAACCTACTTAACATTCACCATACATAATTCACGGAGGGCAGTAAGTTTTTTTTATTTATTTATTTTTGGTTTATAATTCACTGAGGTTGTTGTTGTTGTTGTTGTTAAGTGCCGTCGAGTCGTTTCCGACTCATAGCGACCCCATGCACAGCAGAACGAAACACTGCCCGATCCCGCACCAG